ATGAATTAGAGTGAAATTATTTTCTCGTGTCTTTTTCATGATGTATAGGTGTCGTACCTATCGTGTGGTCAGTTTCCCGCCGAAACGGGGGTTTCGGTCATTCAACACGACAGCGCCAAAGCGATCGGTTCTTAATCACTTGGTAAATTTTTGGTTGGTAATGGCTGAAAATGAGGAGTTAGATGTTCATGCCCGTGAGGTTTCGCTTAGTGATGTGATGCAAGCTGTAAAAACGCAAGGTGAATTTAACGCTAGTTTAAGGAAAGACATTCCGATTTAAGGCAAGACGTTCACGGGGCTACTGTTTCTGTTGCTTCCCAAGTTAAAAAGTAAAAAAATTGAATCCCAGTATAATTGGAAATACGAGGGGAATAAAGTTCAATTCCTTCTTAACACTGAGTTTTTAGAAGATCTCGCACAATCCATTTGGGCAATTGATAACTCAAAAGTTGATTACGCACGAGATACTATCAAAGAAGTTATTGAAAAGATCAAAAGGCGAAACAAACTTATCAAAATCGCCGATAGCAGCGAAGGGGATGGGAGACTGTTCGACAATATGAAACTAACCCAGTAGCAAGCGACTCTGACGATGAGAGCAAAATTAATAAAGCAGAAAACAAGGCGTTACGTAAACGCAATTCAAAAGGGAAAAAGGCTGCTGCTAAGCCTAACATTAATTATGTATCGAGTGCTCCTTCTCAATTTAATGCTACTTTTCCAGCAAAAAATCAGCCCTTTTGTGACCCCCAGTCATGGTACAACGGACAAGCCTTGTACCATGCTCAAGCCAGCACGAGTGGTAATCAGCGACGAAATCAACAAGGAGCTTGTTATGGATGTGGATCGTTCCAGCACTGGAGAACCAATGTCCTTTCAACCCAAGACCTGGCACCATGTCGAAACCGAAATAAGACAGATTTTATAAAATGAGTATAGTTTGAAATTTTGACCTGATAATACTCCGTCAGCTTTTTCGAAAATTGAATCCGATAATCTCACTACTGATTATTACGAGTATGAACAAGGCCAGGCAAACATTATTGTTAAGGACAGGCTAAAAAATCACTATCTGTTTTGGAAAAGTATAGGATGTTATGATTTTATTTTAGATACCATTTTGAACGGTTACAAAATTCCTTTTTACAGTACTACACCGTCTATATGCTTACAAAACAATCGATCGGCAATCATCCATAGCGAGTTTGTCACAGAAGCTATTCACGATCTTTTGATTAGGGGCTTGATTGAAGAATGTGACATTCAACCACTTATTGTAACTCCACTTACAGTAAAAAGAAACGTCTCATTTTAGATCTCAGACATTTTAATAAACATCTTTGGAAAACAAGTGTAAACTTTGAAGACATTCGCATAGCCATGCAATTCATTACAAACAATTCTTTCTGTTTCCAGTTAGATATTGTGTCAGCATATCACCATATCAATATTTTTATCCCCCATACAGAATTTTTGGGGTTCTCTTAGAAGTATGAAAACACTGTAAAATAGTATAAATTTTTAGTCCTTCCTTTTGGGCTATCTTCAGCTTGTTATATATTTACCAAGATCACCAGGCACCTTAATAAAAATAGAGGGGTGAAGGTAAACCAGTTTTAATGTACTTAGATGATGGTTTAGATACTCACACAAATGGAAGATATTTGTAAAACTGTGTCTGAACAAGTTAGACAAGATTTGATTATGAGTGGTTTTGTTCCCAAAAATGAAAATCCAAGTCGTCACCTTTGAAGAATTTGGTATTCTTGGGTTATTCAATTGATCCTACCAGAGTATTGTAAAAATACCGGATGACAGAGCTCAAAAGGTTTTAAAAACTATTGATGACTTTGAATATAACACATTAAAATACCGGAATGTTCACGCTAGATTGGTTTGCCTCTTTATGGGACAAATAGTGTCAATGTCATATGTAATTGGCAATGTTGCCTATATTATGTCTAAACATTTAAGTATTGATATTTTAGAGAAAACTCCATGGAATAGTTGTATTGTGCTATCAAAAGCAAGTTTGATACAAATTAATTTCTAGAAAGAAAATTTATGGAGAGTAAATATAACATTTACTTCCGATTTTTCATGTCAGTCAGTAGTTTACAGCGATGCTAGTAATACAAAATAAGGTAGTTACATTGTAGAAACGCCTTTTGATATAGCTCATGGTATGTGGTCCGAATGTGAGTCTACTAAGAGTTCTACGTGGAAAGAACTCAATGCCGTCAAACATATTATTTTATCTATGGTAGATATTTTGAAAGATAAACGAATCAAATGGTTTAGTGACAACCAGAACGTAGTGAGTATTGTTGCTAAAGGTAGTATGAAACCTGAATTACAGGATATTGCTCTGTGCATTTTTGAAAATTGTTTGACACATCATATATCCATCGATGCTGAATGGGAACCTAGAACTTTCAATGAGAAAGCGGATTACATTAGTCGTATTATTGATTACGACGATTGGGGTGTTGGTGAACAATTGTTTACGTATTTAGATTCCCTGTGGGGACCCCACGAGATAGACTGGTTTGCTAATGATGACAATCACAAGTTAGCGGTATTTTATTCCCGTTATTGGACGGTGATCTCGATTGGTATTGATTCATTCATTATTAACTGGAATGGTGTGAACGGTTGGTTTGTACCTCCCGTCTGTTTAGTATCAAAAGTACTTCGTTACATGAAGCAATTTATGGCACATGGAACAATTGTTCTGCCTTTATGGAAATCGGCAAGCTATTGGCCGATATTATCTCCCACTTGTGAAGGGTTTATTAAAGAGGTGAAGGGATGTATTGACTTACCCACTAACAAGGAATACTATACCCCGATAAAGGAAATAAATCAGTATTTGGGAATATCGATTTACTTTTTAGGGTGTTGGCTTTGAAAATGGTTTTTGAACCTATTAGCTACTAACATGTTAAAGCTTTCAAGTTTGTGGTGGCTTATTTCAGCTATATATAGGTGTTTGTACTAAATTCATATTTTCTAGACAGTCTGAATGACAGTAGTGGTAGTTTTCATTTCAGTGAAAGATGAAGTGTTTAAAACATTAGTAAATAAGTACTAAGTTAAATTGTTTGTATGTATAACGTATTAATGTGTGTTTTATTTTTACGTATGTTTTTGCAGGCTTTCAAAAACGACTTGTTGGATTTACCTGCTTCATTGATTGAAAAAGTTTCCTTACTTCCTGATTTATTAACGGAGAGTAAATCTAGCAACACAGTTCAAAATTATTATTATGGTTTTTTAAGATGGAAACAATGGGCTTTATCGAATGGAATATCTAGTGAAATTATTTTACCGGCCAAACCAATTCATGTGGCTTTATATCTAGCATGTTTAGTGCAACAAAATCATACGCCCAGTCCTATCAATCAAGCTTTTTATAGCATTAGATGGGCACATAAAATTACTAGTGAAATTTCTCCTTCAGAATCTGATTTGGTGAAAAATATTCTGGAAGGAGCTAAGAGACGTCTATCAGTTCCGGTTAAAAAGAAAGAGCCTATAATTCCACACATGCTTTCGCAGATGTTTGATAAATTTTATTGTGAAGATGATCTATATAACCACCGTACTATTTGTGCTTGCTTGTTATAGTATTCTGGCTTTTTACCGAATTGTTGAATCTTAAAACTTGTGATGTTTTATTTTTTCAAAGTCATATGTCAGTATTTATACAGAAAAGTAAAACCGATATTTACAGAGATGGCGATCGAATAATTATCGCCAGAACCGGGAATAAATTGTGCCCCGTAAAGAATTTAGAGAAGTATTTGGAATGGAGTTATAATCAAATAGATTGTGATTTATATCTATTTCGGAATTTGACGAAATCCAAGCATAGTTTTACATTCCGTAAAGTCAACAAACCTCTTTCATATACAAGAATGAGGGAGCTTTTTATAGAAGTTTTTATTCCGTTTGAGCCGAACATCAAATCATTTGGTCTCCATAGTCTGAGAGCCGGTTGAGCATCTGCAGCTTGTAATTTTGGAATTTCGGATATACTGTTTAAAAGGCATGGACGATGGAAATCGGAGACTGCGAAAGATGGTTATGTGAAGGACTCTTTTTCCGACAGAATGTTGGTTTCACTAAATTTGGGTCTCTAGATATTTTTTTTTTCTTCAATAAATCTCTATTTTTTCATACGATTTTCCCGTTCTTTGGCACAGCAGCGGCGTTGTCGTGTAGCTTTGCACTTTAATTATGAGTTTTAGTATTTTTCATACTTTCACAGTATGTTTTTTTCTTTTTAAATGGTTTTTCAAAGGCATACATTATCAAGGGGTGACGTACATGAGACAAGTATTAAGGAGTGAAGTACTTTTATACAAAATGAAGGTTTTTACAAGAGAATTAGCAAAATCTTACTTTGGAGATGATGAAGACTTAGTTCAACTAATAGTTAATCCTTTCTATTATGCTATAGATAAACAAAATGATGATCTTAATCAAAGTATTGCCGGACAGCTAGAGGTAGTGTGTAGACAGCTAATTTACAATCTGCATATGAAGCGGTATGAACAAAAATGTGACAAGAAAAACAATATATCATGAAGAGTAAATTTAAAGCTTATTCTGACAGTATGCTGATGATCAGGGTTGGAATCTCTACAGGTATCATCAGGTTCAATAAAATCAGGTGACATTTGAGCAGACAGTTATCGACCAATAATAAATTTTGGTAATTATATGGGTGCAATACGGAATACAATCAAAGATAATTTTATCTTTTTATTGTGAAATTGTTTATCAATTGTATATAACGGTGGCGGAACAGAAGTCATTTTTATTAATATATTATTGTGTAGAGGATTGGACATATTCTTAATATTGTGTGGTGAAGGACACTATTGTATTCAAGTCCATTGGAGGTGTGCCTACATTGGCAGAATCTATACAGATACAGATACAGAACCTTAGTTTATTATCTAAATTAATAAAAGATAATTAAACGACTGAAATAATCAGTAAAATTTTATTCAGCTAATGACAATATCTACCATGTCTATAGATATACATACACTTTCTGACTTTTAAATTTTGCATTGTTGGGAAAGTATCATTAGCTGATTTAGTCTGATTGAAATTGTCCGTAGACACGGATGATATTGTGGATTCAGTTATTATGAAATAATATTAATTGGGTCAACCAAAAATCCACTCTGTCTTGGTACAAGTTATTCTTCGTTGTAACATTAACATCTAGCAAGGCATATTGTTTTGTTATCAAGTTATATGTCGGCCATCTTGGTAGACCAGCAGAGTTAACATCTCTAAAAATGAAAGAAAAAGCAATGTATAAAAAGTAGAAGATACTGTCAGATCATAAATCAACGAGCTATATAATCCTCAAATAGTTCAAAACTTCCCGACTATAATACAAGTGAGAGGTTAGCTAGCTATAGAAAACCAGGTTTAATTCACCATTTTCTACATAAGGAAATGCCTGAACCAAGTCAGGAATATGACAGTTGTTTTCCATTCGTTTGATGTGTTTGGGCTTTTGATTTTGCCTTTTGATAAAGGACTTTCCGTTTTGAATTTTCCTTGGAGTTCGGTATTACTTTTTCTCTTATAAGCAATAGTAAAGGATGGATGTCAATGCACACGACAAATGCACAACGAACGTTAGGGAAGCAAAGTACATTGAACATTTTGGAGACAGAATTAGTACAATATTTGTCACTTATCTTTTTTTTAAATATTACTCTTTGTACATGTAACCCGAAGCTTAGACTTCTAAAAAAGCTACGAAAAATAAATTTTGACACTGATGGTACTCATTCAATTCTTCCCTCGCCGCGACATAGCCTTTTTGTGCTGATGCAGCGTAAAGCAATCACCAATTAATCAATCAATCAATTCTTCCTTTCATTCATATTTTAGAATATTACATTAAAGAACTGACAATGCTTACCCTGTTTTTGCAAAATTACTCCAATATTTCATTAAAGTTTTTGCAAACCGAGTATTAACATCGTCTTCTATGTTATTCGAACTTTGCCCCGGTGGAAACAAGTACGCTGACTCTGCTGAATGACCAGCTTCTTTAAACCATGGATACGAATCTTGTTGTGGAGAAAATACAGATCTTCTTTTATTTAAAAACTGAAACTGCTTTGAATTATAGTTTCTTAAAGCATGGGAATTTAGACTTTGAACCGCTGGCATGTACATCGTCATGTCGCCGTAAAAGTTCACTACATTTTGGCCTTGTTCTTGTAAGGAGCCTTTACTATAATATTTCATGCATATAGATAAGGCTAATGCAAGGTTATCCCCAAAGTAATCTTCAACGAATTGTGGAACAATATGCTTACAAAAATAGTTGGATGATATTCCATCTTTGATGTTGAACGGTAAAGACTTTTTAAGAGGCTCCAAATAATCTAGAATTAACGAGCCTTCTGATTCATCATTTCCTACAATTATATCTAACGATTTATATAGGTTGAATTCAGGCGAATTCCGATTTTTCATTATATTAACTGGTGAATCTTTTAGAAATTGCCTATCAACAACAGGCGCATAATCGAGCGCAAGGTGAATATCTAAGGTTTTATCTTTAAGATTTGTCATATTACCACTAGAAGAGTGTTCACGATAAGCTTGATAAATATCTTTTGTTGATTTACTTTTTAAACATTCAACTGTTTCCTTTGTTAATAAAGAATCACAGTTTAGACTGTCGGCTATTTTTTGCGTAAGTGATCGAGATTTAGAAGAAGTTGATAAAATAGAATCGGCGGTGCCACTTTGAGCTATTACGCGTTGAAATAATCCCTTGTTTCCAGAATGAATAGATTGTAGCATGACACTAAATGCCCCAGCTGATTCACCAAATATTGTCACTGATCTCGAATCGCCTCCAAAACTTTCTATATTGTCCTTCACCCATTGAATTGCCAATTTTTGGTCCCATAATCCGTAATTTCCAGCCATTAATGCATCGTTTGTACTTAAAAATCCAAAAATGTTGAGTCTATAGTTTAAAGTGACTACTATGACGTCACCTATGACGCTAAGATATGAACCATCTGTGAACATCCCTTGTCCGAATTCGTATCCTCCACCATGAATCCATATCATTACTGACTTCTTATTTGATCTTGATGTATCACTTGGAATGTAAATATTCAGAAACAAGCAATCTTCTGATGTGTTGACATTAGGTAAGTAAGCTGCCATTTCCGGATATAAATATTGCACACAGGACGGACCGAATTCAGTTGCATCATGAAGTTCATCCCATGGCCCAAACTTGATTGGTTTTTCAAAACGAAGATTTCCAACGGGAGGTTTTGCAAATGGTATTTTTCTGAACTCACTGTAGTTGTACTGGATGCCTTGTATTGTTAATGTGTTTGATAAACCTTTGATCTTGCCTAGTTTTGTTTGCAGTGTTAGGCCAAGAGTATAATCACAACAGGTCAAAAATATAACCAATAGGAACACTGGACAGGTAAAGGCCATCTGAAATATAATAATTCTATTAAGTCATTTACAGTATATTTTATTACAAAGACACTATTTAGACCTCAAATATTTTATTTCTGTTCTTAGTAAAACTACTAGTTCTTCTTAAACGGAAGTTTTTCATTAGTTTTCATCAAAGTCAAGATCAATTTCCGCAAAGTCAAGGACAGAAATGTTCTATATTGAAAATGTTCTGTCTTCTAAACAAAAAAATAATGTATTATACAAGGAAAACTTTTACAACAGAAATCAGCAATAATTAACTAAACTCAACTTGAAATATCTATGACGTATTTGGGTCATTTTCAAAAAATGTCGAATTTTCAGTACACCCATGCTATTTTTTTTAATTTCTAATGGAAAACGCAGTTGTAAGTGTTTAAATGAAAGTTTGTAGGATTTATGAGTCAGAACATTAATAATAAATACGATTTAGATCTTTTTGATAAGATAAAAATATAGTTAAGTCCGATTTTTGCGTAATTTGTGTGCGTACAGTGTCAGAGTAACACATTTCAAATGATTTTTTTCCTATTTTCTGATTGACTTGATATCTGCAAAAGGGACTTTTGTATAACGTTAATAATAACTAGGTAGGTAGGCATTTTCTTTTTTTTCGGCAAAGAGTAATTAAAGTGTCAGATGTTTTTAGTTTGCATGCCTATCTGATTAAAAAAGAAAATTAACATCAGGACAATAACAGATTTTGAGTAGGCAGCTATTTTCTGGGTAGGTAGGGTTTGGGCAAACAAACATATTCTTTTTTATTGACCAACAAGAAAAACCTTAAAATATGCATTGTCTATAACATATAACATATACCATCAAAATATTATTGCGTAAGAAAAGATTTGCTGGAAATTGCATCCCATTTTACTGATTCTATTTGGACCGATTATAAGGTTGTCTGCATACTGAAATTGTAAAATATCAGCTACGAGTCACAACATGAAGCTTTTTGTCGAGTGAGCAGAGCGAACGAGTTCAAAAAGGCTTCATATTGTGTCGAGCAGCTGATATTTTACAGTATGAATATGAAGACAACAAGATGATCGATTTATCGGGTTGTATTTGCATAGTTTGCATGTTTTGCTTTGTTTCACCAGCAAACCGGATGATGACTTGGTAATTTCTGGTCAAACTTATCAACGTCGGTGCATTCATTGAGACGATGACGTCGGTGATATGTCCGGGTCAAAGTTATTAAGACCGGGTCAACGTATTTGGCGTCACAAAGCCGTGATATGCTATTTTATTTAGAACTTAGCAGAGTGATACAGACAGTTGGACGACCAATAAAGGGTTTTATTCTTTTCTAATGCTTTTTATGATCTATATATCATAAAGACTGTTCCATAATACAAAGTTCATTTCACATATTTTAAGAAAAAGTCGGAATAATTATGACATTACAATATAAACAATAAAGAGGGTGACTTTGATAGTAAAACTAGGAAAAAAATATCACAGCAAAGCAGCACGGTACCACGTTAATATGTTCTTCTGCTCTGATAGATTATATGCACACAAAACGTTTGTCAAATTTCATCATATTAAGTTCATGAAAAATGCAGAGTTACCCTATATGAACCTTTATCAGATGGTGAACAAAAAGTTTAATAGCAAGTGCTCTTTGTTTTAAAATAACACCTGCAATTCAATGGTTGTCGTTGCTTGCTTTCTTCCATTATTGTTTTTCATTTATTGTTTTTATCATAAATCACTTCGTTAGTTTTCCTTTTTATCTGATTGTTTCAAGTTTGGCATGTCAGGGTCTTTTATACTTATAGTTTATTTACGGTATGGGTTTTGTTCATTGTTGTATTGTATTGTAGTTTACTATACGGTATGGGTTTTGTTCATTGTTGTATTGTATTGTAGTTAACTATACGGTAGTATAGCTCCGCTTTTCGTCCTGTTTCTAAAGCTCATACAAATAAAATTTATATTTTCCGACAATGTACATATATTGTATATTGACAAACGGTACATTAAAGAAAACACCAAAAACTAATACAGGAAAGTCAGTACAATCAATACACAATCAAAAGTATTCTCGCAGCTACTGAAAGCAGTTAACATGCGTACCCTGCTGATATGAAATCATGCTGTTCTATACTCAAATATCGGTGGCTGTACTTAAGAATATATAACGTACGTACCCTGGTGACATGAAATCTTGCCGTTCTATACTCAAATATGGGTGGCTGTACTTCAGAGTATATTTCACACAATAACGTCATCAACAGTACATGAACACACGATATTATGCAATTGAAAGAATCTTTTTGACTTGTTTATTTTTGTTTTTTTTTCTCAAATGTGTATTATAAATAACAAAATACTCACTTCAATAATGCAACAGGGATATCTAAATTACTCAATACACGACACGTTATTTTCAGCTAAATTATAAACTATTGAAATAGTGGTGTTTATCAGCGTTATTCTAATATACTGACAACTGGTCAAAATTCGTTATCTTTAAAATCCCTTTGATAGTCCGAATATTGTGTAATAAAACTATTATAACTTGTTATGAAGACCAGATAATTCCGGCATCTGTTAGTAGTCTTGAGGTCAGGATGAACCTACCAAACTAAATAAGTTATTAGTATAGCACTTGTACAAGTCATGAAAAATTGACTGATCGCTAAAGCTCTACATTTATTATTCGGAAATCAAAAGTGACTGAACTCGTAGGTTCTCCAGTCATCATTCGAAAACTTAAATTCATTGATGGAGGTAGACAAAAAACATCTGGGTCATGTTCCATATATAAAAAAATAAAAATCCTTAACCTTTTCGAAAAATCCAAATATTTTCAATTCTTCAAAAGGAAATTTAAGACATAAAATATTTAATAATTTATCAAACTTAATTAAATTTATATATCGAAGTTTGCTAGATTTAGTTATATTCTAAATTATTGACTTTCAAACATTTGCGATTCAAGATATTATAATACTCTCATACTTTTAATAATTTAATTCCTTTATAATCGCACATAACATTGTATTTATTCGAATGAAATTTTACATATTTATATATATATATATATATATATATATTCATTTGCTATACAACACTTTGACCCCGAATTTTATATATAGTCATTTGCTATACTACACTTTGACACTGTTTTTGTCATTTTAAAATAAATACACATTTTTATGCAATCAATTGCAAGAAATTTATCATATTAGAAATATACTAGTTTATTATTCATTGGTTCATATAATTTAGCAATTAAGATATTTGCTAATCCAATTACATATAAAAATAAGAATACGTGGTATAATTGCCAATGAGACAACTCTCCACCAGAGACCAAATGACATAGAAAGTATATTTATCCAAAGATGGAGTTAATATTGTTCCTTTTTAGTAACATCGGTATCTCTTTCAACCAGAAAGCAACTCTGTCATGGTTTAATCTCTCCCAAATAGTAACGTTGACATTCAGTATGGCGTATTGTTTTCTCGTGACTTCATACTGAGGCCATTGCTCTAGTTCAGGACCATTAACATCCCTGTAGAAAAATAAACATTGAGATGTTGATGACTCTATCTCATTCTGTAAAATTATGGACCAGTAATATTCACTGATTGCAAGATATAAACTAACCGAAAAATAATTAAAACTTTCGTTAAAAATTAAATGGACAAAGAATATACAGTGTGTAGTTATTAATAATACGAATGAGCAGCTGTGCCGAAAGCTCACGATACGCCCTTATTGTGCATATAGAAATTGTTGCAAAGATAAAATGGGATATTTAGAAGGTATTTAAACAGAAGCTAATTAAATGCAACTGCTCTTTAGAAAAACATACATGAGGATACCCTTAGACGTATAAATATTGTGTCAAATATGGCTGTTAAATGTCTCATAACTATAGAATTATAAACCAGAAAATTTTCGAAATCAAAAGCGATATAACATTCATCAATTCCAACAACCGTGTCGATCATGTAAAGATTTGACCCAAACATACTAGAGCTAGTGCATTATATTAAAAAAAAATGCCTTTTGTTTATCTGATGGTCAAAGTCTCATACACATGTAACCCTGGAGAGACAAATCAGAACTTGTTTAGAACCGAACAGTGTGTTATATTCACCAATCCAACAATTATGTAAAGTTTCCAGTATATCAATACAATCAAACTCTAGTAATCATTATGGTACAACATCTGAATTTTTTAATCTTACATTTCAAAGTCCAACTACTTTAAAACGACAAACTAGAAAATTATAAAATTGATGATGATGATGGTGGATAAAATTGAAAGAGAGCTCCATTTTTATCAAATACAACAATAGTTTTAAGTTTTGGGGAAATCAATACAGGCATACTAGAGTTAGTGCGCGATTTATGTGAAACATTGCCTTAATTCAAATGGTTAAAGTTCCGAACCTCTCGAACGACAAATCAGAAAAATAAAAAATATAAATAAAAAGGGAGCTTCCTTTTACCAATCCCAACAATAGTTTAAAGTTTTGAAGAAATCAATCCAGGCATAATTTAGTAAGTGTGCGATATGTGAAAAATTGCCTTGATTAAAAGGTTAATGTCCCGTAATTCTAGAATGGCAGCGCCAAAAATATTTTAAATTGGAAGGGGGTTTCTTTCGTCAATCCTAATGTTGTGTTAAAATAACATAAACGTTGATTAAAGCAAATTTGAGTTATCGTCCGAAGTGTTGACGGGTGGATGGATGGATGGACGGTTGGACGGTTGGACGGACATTGGTATACCATGATACATCCCGCCTTCGACGAACGTATACAAAACCACTGTGTTTGAATTTCGTTATACTATTTCAATAATATCTATTTACAGAAACTGTAGATTTATTCAACAGACCTTATAATTATAAGAATACGAGATATTTGCATTGATTTATGAGGTAAATGTTATATTTTCCCTTGGGGATACAAGATACTGATCGGTGTAAGCATGTTGATTCCATACAATACCGATAGCGAGTCAC